AAATAAATCTATATATATAAAAAGAGAATTTATTTACTAAAAATAATAATAAAAAAAATCCGTCAAAATTAATTGCACGTCACTTTGGGAAATTGTTTGAATTTTTTTTTTTATAAAATCAGGTACCATTAAATGCTCATTTAAATGATGGGTTTATTCAATTAATGTTTATTCATTCCATTTTATCTTACATTCCATATAATCATATTCAAAATAAACATTAAATTTGCTTACATAATTTTAAATTAATTACATCAATAAATAATATTAATATAATAACATTAAATTTGCTTATATAATTTTAAATTAATTACATCAGTAAATAATATTAATATAAATATTTATTATTAAATAAAAAATAAAACTACTTCTATAAGTGTTATAAATAATAATGACATTATAAGACAATAAATTTTTAAACAAAATAATATTTGAGTACTATGATGAACCAAAGTATGTAATATTATTATTTTTTTGTATTAAAAAATAAATATACATGTTAAAATATTATTTATATTAATATAAACAGGTCAACAAACTAATATATTGTTAAAATAAAATTCAACGAAAATGTTTAAAATATAAAATCCTGCATCGCACGGGATTCTCACTAATTGTTTCTGGAAAAGGAAAGAAAATAACGAATATGAATAATTGTCTTTAGAAATTTAATTTAGTCTCATTCTCTAATAAAATTATTCTTCACAATTTTCTTTTCTTTGGCAACTTTTCAGGTCGTCTTTCTTGTACTGGTAAAACTCTCGGCGCACTCACACCGACAGGGGCACGCAGCCAGTGGTCTCTGCTGATTCAATCTGCACCAAGAGGTATAGATACAGAAAACATACATATCTTTGTGCTTGCTCTCTTTGTTTATGCCGCGATTGTATGTATAACGCTGGTGCTTGTATGTGCGTGTGTACGCTCCTTTAATGCGCTGCAGAATTGCATCAGCTGAATTTGAATCGCCGGAGTAAATCCGTATTTTCCTTGGATTTTGCTTGTTATCGAATTTGATGGTTTGTTCTGAGTTTGTTAGAGCTGAATAAAGCTGCGAGAATTGATTGGATGGTATTGTGAATGAATCTGTAGATAATTTTGATTGTGTGTATGGATTTTGAGCATCTGATTGAGTTAGCTGCTGCTGGTATACTTTTCTGTTTTTCCCCCTTTTTTTAATATTTTCGAATCTTTTTTGATTTGTTAATCGGTGGAACTTCTCCGTATGTTCTTCGTTCGGTGCCCTCATGTTTTCTATTAGTGACTGTAAGTGTAATTTAGCTGAAGAATTATAACAGTTTAAACAATTGTGTTCTGATTGAATTCATTAATGTGGAGGTGCGTACATGACATCTTCAATTCGATTAAACAATCTACGGGGCGCTCATTTATCTGGCGAGTTTTTGTGTAGTGTATTGAAGGTAAGAGATGGCTGATCTCTAGGATTGAGTTAGCTGTGTGTTTTTTGTTGAGTACTAATTGGAAGATGTCGTTTATTGGAGCAAAACTTTGTTCTGAAGTAGTGTCCCGAATTTGTTCTACCTGTGAGTCCACCTGGGCTCCAATGGCTTCTTGATTTAGGTTAAAAATGAACTCTGTGCATTAGACTAGCTTGATACTTATATGGGAAATCTAGAAATAATCAAATTTCTAGAATATTGTATTAATGTGTAACATGAGAAGCAAACACAAGAGAATTGAATCACATATCCGAACTAGTGAATAAACACACTTGCAGTCGTTAGACAACGAAAGTTAAAATTGGTCTCCCTTTATAATCAGTTGTAGTAGTGCATGTTATTTTCTTCTTCTTTTTTTTTTTCCCCTTTTCCCTGGTGAGTGTAAATGAAGCAAGTTGATCCTACACCAGCTGATATGGCTATCTCCACTTTCAGTTTCCCAACTATATTACAAAAGTTTCCCACACTTATTAAACAAGGTGGTATATCCTACGCTTGAAAAACTCCAGTTTCCCTATGTTCTAAATGGTGCATCTTTACTTCTCATGCTGATGACTTGGTATGCGTGCATTTAAAAAAAAACAATTAAACCAATTTTCCAGTTTAAAATAAGTTGACTGATATGGATGTGGATTCATGGTCAATTTCATATCAGTTCCTATCCAGTTCTTCTGGAAGAGGTAGTTGCATGCTGCACCTGACAAAGTTTTTCATCTTGAATAAATGATGACTGCTCATTGTTTAATTATGATCAACCCGTGATATAACTGTATAGGCTTGATAAAGTGATTCCTTACTGTTGCTGCTCCATGTGCCCCTCTCTCCCCACTATTATGCAGGGAAGAGAACAATGAGCCAAGCGCCAGGTGGCTTGTGGCGAATAAAAAATATCACTAAATAAAGATGGGAGGTTGTTGTTGCTGTGCGTCGAAGGGCACTGAACATAGTAACTCACCAACCTTCTTTCATGTAAGTCAAACATCTTACCTCATCTGTTGATGGTTCTGAATTGCTTAATCTTATCCTAGCTTGTCTATGATTTCAAGGATAAAATGTTGTGTTCTTAATTTTCATTGGTGTAGTAATCTGGAAAAAGATAATTCAATTTTTATACAAGAAATTTAATATAATATATCCCCAACATTTTAATGCTGGCTAGAAGTAGCTGCTTTTTTTATAGATTAATGTGGTATTTCCATACGATATGGTTAGTTTAACTCCCTAAGAGAATGATCAGTTGAAGGACAGGCATTCACAACTATTGTGTGTTTTAGATTATATTTCACTTGAACATTTTATCAAGTCCCTTGACATATGTCATCCGCCTGGGAGTACCACATCCACACGAATCATTACGGTGAATAATTAACAATCATATCCTGGAAGTTAAGTTGGCTCATGTTGGGAAGTTCTAAAAGTATGTTGGTTCCAGGTCCATTACCTATTTTGCTGGCAAACTATGTTTTGAGTTTCTGCAATAACATTTTCTGCATAGACTGTCCATACCAAATCTAGCAGCCATTTGGCTGAAGTTTTGGGAACAATATAGACCAAGCCAGCCTGGTTTTTCTGTGGCCACATTTTCAAACATAAAATTTATTGACAATGAGCTGTTTTCTCCATTTATACTATAGTAGAGGCTCTAGCATTGCTTGTGCTTTGGAGTATACTTTAGTTAATTAATTCAGCTAAGATTCAAGAATAGAAAAATTAGATTCTTTCCTTCTGTTGTTCCATGCATATTATTGAAATGTCAAGAGTACCACATTGAGCTGTTGGTGAATTAAGGTGTTGAAGTATAATGAATAACTCACATGGTACAATCAGTATTCTGTTGGCATGTTTACTATTTTTTTCCTCTAAAGTGCTATTTTGGCCATATCCTCTTGAAAATTCAACATTTGGATGCAGAGTTTTGGATCTAATGGGAAAGTTGTGTCATTTATGATATAGAAGAAATGTAGTGTGTTTGCCTAGTGGAGATGTTTGTTTACTTTGCTTTTGAAAGATTGTGTCATGTCATGCATGCATGGTCTTCTTAATGCCTCTTTTATCATATCATTCACTGTGGTGTGGATATAGTGGGACGGTAGACTGCAAGTGTAATGTTCAGCGCGGCAGCACCTATATATCTAAGTTAGAAAATCGGCAAAGTGAACAAGGGCCACCTGCCGCCTATGCAGGGTTTAGTTGGGGGTTGGGGCTAAGCAGAGATTTTTATAGCAATGATTACAAGTTAAACTGTACTTTAAAATTAGAAGTACGCCTCTGGGATTGCTGATGTCATACAAATTGATCGATCAGAAGGAGGCATTTGTTAGGTAAATACAAACCTCAAGGGGGTCTTGCTTGTTATTTTAGAGTTTCACTAGAGTGGAGTTTCAGGGATAGTATTTATAGTTTAAAATTATCCATCATCTCCATGAAGGGACTCCTAATAGGTTGAAGACCAGTTCCGGGTAGCTAAGTTGGCATGGAAGAACATCCTTTTATTTATAAGTAGTTACACTAGTGCTCAGATCAATGCCGAAACACATATGGAGTGCTGACCTTAATTTTTCTGTAACAACTTGTGTTTATACCACATATATGATTAGTCGATAATAGAATTCCGCTCTCTTTCACTGACATCATTTTATTTATATGGGAATCACACACAGTCCCAGTATCCAGCATCAGAAGAACGCGAGCCCTTATCAGCTCACCATGCCCCCGTCTCCACTCAGTCTGCCGGGCTCTTGGTGGACACAAATTTAGATACTACGGTCCCCGACACCTATCATCCTCCACCTGCACCCATACCTTACGAATCATACGCTGCCCACCTGCCTACCCCGACAAGGAGCAGAGAAAGCACGTGCAACAAGACCGATACGGTTTTGCCAGCGAACAACTCTCAGTCTGTTGGGGATGTTAATTCTGGCAGCAACTTGGAGGTCAAAGTGAAGGACATTGAGTGTGATGAGAAGGGCAGTGCAAATATTGAGCTGGGGGCATTAGAGGATGAACTATCTGATGATCTTAAAAAGTCAATTGAACCTATGGTCCCATCACTGCAGGAAGAGGAGGATGTCTGTCCAACTTGTCTTGAAGGTACACTAGGGTTAATTACAAAAACTTCCCCATGCATTTTTTT